GTTATATCACCATAAGGCTTATGGTTACTTGGGAGTGGACTTCTTCTAATGAAAACATAAATGAAATATGAAAATAACGAAAAGTAATCAAGCTCATATGTCCATTAGAACAATAACTGGGAGGAAAACAAACACAGACCTCTAAAAACATCAGAGGTGGGATCAGTTGCCATGAAGGAGTAAACATCCCCTGTCGACCGGTCATACCAGCCGTGTGCTTATTGTCATGTTCGGACAAACGGAAAAATCCATAAAGAATTCATTGTTTAAATAATGGCCTGAAATAAGTATGAAAAACGTCAGTCAACATTCAACTTAACGATATATTGTATTTGCTAATATGGTCATTGTATAGAACAAAGAATGATCGAAATGTTGACTTTAAACGGGTCAGTTGATATCCTTGTATCATCAACTTGTTCGTCAATATTTTGCCTCGTTTTAGAAATTGTTCTTATGTATAGTATGGTCTTGCATATCCAATCAACTGGGAGACATAAATTCTCTATGCAGGCGATAATGATATTGCTTAAAAAAATAAGGGAATTTGACAACAGAAAAGTTTAAATGATCACGTTATCATAAAGTTTTGTTGTTAGACTGCCATTTATGTCTTTTTCAAACAAAATATCCAAATATGAAACAGATGTGTCAGACTCTGTAAAAATCTTTTCTTTCGAGTTTAAACGGATATATTTACATTTGCTGTGTTTTTCTACTTTGCCAACTGTGAAATTGATTTGAAAACCATTTTTGTGTATACTCACGCGTAGAAATATACACGGAGAAACTCGCGCTAATGTGACGTCACAATGAGGCTACAGAGACGTTAATAAAAATATGACGATATAGGGCAGCGAGAAATTCAAACATTAAGTATATCTTTGGTGCATTTAAACATTTAAAATGTAAATTTAAGGAATGTTTTTAAGTTTAGTGTGAATTATTGGTGTGTAAATCACACAGACTTACACGTAGGCATATTTTTCATGAAGCGCTAGCGATTTACACACCAATAACATACACAAAACTTAAAAACATTCCTTATATATTGAATCAACGTAGGAATAGAAATGAAGAGTGTTAATTGATAAAACATTGTCGATAGATCTAAATATCAAATTGAAGGCCAGAGCAAGAGACTTTTTTATGGAGAAGCTTTTAAATACATTCTTTTTCATGAAGTGAAATTTGGAGATAACGAACAGTTATCAAGCCCAAAGCCCACTTAAACTATACAAATCTGGAGCAGGGCAAACACGGACTTCCAAAAACATCAGAGTTGAGATCAGGTCTATGAAGGAGTAAGCAATCCCTGTCGACCGGCACACCTGCCGTGTGTTCCTTGTCATGCTCGAAAAAAAAAGGAAATGGCCTAACAATTAGTATGGAATGGGTCAGTCAGCATTTTACTTAGTGATAGATTGTAATTTGCATGCTGACAAGGTCATTGTATCGACTATGAAGGAGTCTATGAAGGAGTAAGCAATCCCTGTCGACCGGCACACCTGCCGTGTGTTCCTTGTCATGATCGAAAAAAGGAAATAATGGCCCAACAATTAGTATGGAATGGGTCAGTCAGCATTTTACTTAGTGATGGATTGTAATTTGCATGCTGACAAGGTCATTGTATTGACCATAGAACTTACGAAATGATGACTTCAAACGAGACTGTTGATATCCTTGTTTCATTAACTTGTTTGTATGAATAGTAAAAAAGACCTGCTATTAACAGTGCCCTATTAGTAATAATGTTCATTCCAAGGGATTGTTGTATTTTTGATCTTCAAAAACTACAAAGATATTGTCAATCAAAAGCTCAAGCATTTTTACATCAACTTCGGAGTTCTTGCGTATACAATCAGAATGTTAATTAAAAAAGTAATTTTAAAAATGATCAGTGACAAGGTATGTAAATTTACGAGTTTCATTTTTATTGGAAAAGCAGCCGTCTAAGATGTCAAAAGCGTTATTTTAGAAATGGTGATATAAAGTGTTGAAAAGTCATACGTTTTGATGTGATTGATTTTGGTAAAATTTTGTCATTTCAAATTTTCTGAAAGCTTAGTAATATGGAATTAATAAGTATCCACATCTAATTAACACCATTTCTCGAATTTTTGTTGTTCATTACTCCTGAAGTTTCTCCTTTACTGCTGTTAATATTTTTGTAATGAGTAAAGAAAGAGGCTTCGTAGAACATATACTGGAACCTGCTATGTATCTTTGTTTGTGAGGATTTTTATGCAGTTTATGAATCCAGCAGAGGTATTGTACTTCAAATTCAACTTCTTTGAGGTGAGCTTAATTTTTTTTTTTTTTGAAAACTTCTCAGGAACAGTAGAGGGATTATTTGTCAAGTTTATATGCATGCATTGTCAGAACGTGTAGATTCAATTTGTTTAAATCATGGCCCTTTGTCGTAAGTTTTGACCAAAACAGGAGATCAAAGTTTAACCTAATAATAAATAGGAAATACTTTTTCAAGGGTAGACGGGCTACGTGACATATCATTAAAATGCGATTGCTCCTGGGGTAGGGTAAGGCTACATCATAAAAGAGTTTTCAGGAAATAGACATTTATTCTAGTTGAAAGAAGTATATGACAGGCAGTACGTCTGATCTTACAGGTGACCTATAGCTAGTCAGAGGTCTATCACGGGCAGTGCCTGATCTTACAGGTGACCTATAGCTAGTCAGAGGTCTATCACGGGCAGTGTCTGATCTTACAAGTGACCTATAGCTAGTCCAGAGGTCTATCACGGGCAGTGTCTGATCTTACAGGTGACCTATAGCTAGTCAGAGGTCTATCATGGGCAGTGTCTGATCTTACAGGTGACCTATAGCTAGTGAAAAGTCTGTCACGGGCAGTATGTCTGATAGGCAGTATGTCTGATCTTACAGGGGACCTTAAGCTAGTGAAAAGTCTGTCACGGGCAGTATGTCCGATAGGCAGTATGTCTGATCTTACAGGGAACCTTAAGCTAGTAAAAAGTCTGTCACGGGCAGTATGTCTGATAGGCAGTATGTCTGATCTTACAGCTAGGTAACCTATAGCTAGTGAAAAGTCTGTCACGGGCAGTATGTCTGATAGGCAGTATGTCTGATCTTATAGCTAGGTAACCTATAGCTAGTGAAAAGTCTGTCACGGGCAGTATGTCCGATAGGCAGTATGTCTGATCTTACAGGGGACCTTAAGCTAGTCATATGTCTCAGAAAATATATAATGGTAACAAGCTAGATTTCAGTTTACTTATTAGCATTTTTTTATTTTTAAAAGTTTTATAGCGAAATTACTTTCTTCGTAAGACAACTTGTACACTTTCAAGTCAGAAACAGGTAATCAAGAAGATTACAAAGCTCGCCTCAGCGAGTATTATCTATAAGTAAGGCAACGTGTACACCTTTAGATGAAACATCCTTGTAATTTGGCAGAAAAGAATACATACATGTATACTATAACCTGCATATGCAGGTTATGCATTTTTTCTGCAATGACACGATTGGTAGTTTGTATCCATAGATGCATCATGTATGCAAGTTTGGTCACAATAGGGCTAAAAATTAGTTGGGAAATGACCTTCTCCAAAACTTAAAACCTGGTCACTCGTTATGAAAATGAAGGTTACATCCAGCATCACATCAAGTCTGGAAGTGTGTATCCCATGATGATCTGGTCCTTAAAGGTCTTATAGTTACTTGGCAATAGACTTTCTCATTCAACATCTAATCCGGACACCGACGATGGGGAATTAGTATAAGCTCATCTCGAATTCGAGCTTTAAAAGGTTCCCACCTCGTACAGTTATAACAAGAAAAATACTAGAGCTTTTGTCATAGACTTCTTAATCAAATGTACTTTATCTTGTAACAAATCGACAAAATGTCCGGTAATATATTAAATATAACCTCAAGGCAACAATGAATTTAAAAAAGCATAAAAATTTAATTTGATTTTTGTCGTATTTGTAAAATTTCCTTGCATACATTCTTTAAAAATCCACTGTATATGTACATATATGTATATCTTAAAGTTTCTTTAAAAAAATGGTCTTGTGCATCAAAATACATTTATATAAAGTTTTCAAACACACAAAAAAATAATTGAAAAAGAAAATGCATATAAATTTGATCAGTAATTCAAATGAAAATGAAAGAAGTAATATCAGCTTTGGTATCAATATTACGTATTAATTAATCCTAAGAATTTAAATTCTGGAATGATATGTGCTCTCTCCCTCGCTCCCTCTCTCTCTCTCGTGTATGTACACAACACTGGAGGGTTTTTTTTTGCCAAAAGCAAATAAGACATGCATGTACGTACTATGTTCATAACATCTGCAAATGTACATGATTAATTTATTAACACCCACCCCGGGCTTAACTTATACAAAAACAAATAGGTACAGTAAATCACTTCTTATTCGAGAGAAATTTATTTTCGTGTAAGTACGCGAGACAGTGTGCTCGCGAAAATTTTATTTTCGCTTATAATAGTATTCGATAAGATTATATAGAGCAATAACCACAATTAGTGAAAATTTTATCTCGCTTATAAGGAGTCAATGACAATCTCGCGAAAATAAGATGTCGCGAAAATTAAGTGATCTACAGTACTAGTTTTAACTGCCGGCCATACCTGAAATACATAAATGCTATAAGAATATCTTTTATTAACAGAAAGGATTTTGATATATTCAAATTGCACACTCCAAGTTTCCTCTTTGAAAAACGAGGACCTGAAATATTTCCAAAAGAAACCAAAATTGAAAAGATCTAAGAACATGAATTAATATGAACTTTAACAACCTTACACGATTCGTTTGCTAGTCACAAGAGAATACATTAGTTTTTTTTTTTTCTTGTACATGATGATGCGATCATTCTAAACAAGAGAAATATAAAAATAGAAAATAAAAATATGTATTTTAAAGGCAAAGCAGTTATACATATAGAAAAATAAAGGCACAGTAATAATCACATGTTTCTACATGTGGAAACAGTATTATGCATCTCTTCGCTAGATATGATTGGCAGAGTATACTCCAAATAATCTCCCCTGAATTAAATGGATACAAAGAACTGAATCCGTTCCGACTAAATTTAGATACCATACGATAGAATAAAATCAAACTCTTGAAATCCTCGCGGCTTCCTCTGCGGACCGACTGCTGCTGATCCGCGACTTTATTTTAGCTGTTTGAGGGACGGAAGCTGGTGTCAATTGTGTAAAATCTGGGGGTGGCGGAAATTCCGCGGAGATCTCTTCCGGCGAAGCACTCCCATTATGCGAATGAATTCCTTGTGAGTAATTCTCTGCTGCTTTGTGATGAACTCCGACTGGATTACTTGGAGAAAAAAGAACTTGGTCAGAAGGCGACACAGTCCGTAATATTCCCCGCGGTGGAGATGATATAGGCCTTTGACCGGATGATGAAGAAGAATGAGTGGGCGATGCTAAAGGGGATACAGTTTGTGTAACTGGGTCAATATAAGGAAGCATTCGCCCTGTTTTTGGTCCTGTAGGGGAAGGCGTTCCATTGTCATTAGAAACCTGTCCATTAACCAACATGGAACGTGTGATCCCCATTTTTGGGACCGTTGGGGTGGTTGCTCCTCCACTATCGAGGGATGAGCTACTATTGTACTTTCTTGGTGGTGGGTGATCTCGCGGGGGCAATTCAGGACGAAACTCCTGGCTTTCACTCGCTCGTTTTGTTCTGCCTCTCGCGGCACTTTGGTCTAGCAAATCCGGATTCACGCCTGGTGGGTACTGTGAGAGAGGAGAGTAATCTAAGCGATTCACTCGAGGTGAACTTCCGGACCCGCCACCTAAGTGATTGTAACTTTCTCGGACAAATGCCTGATTATCATGTCCAGGCAGACCCGAGGATCCGTCATTGCTAGGTATAACAGAACCATTTGAATGACCCGGATTTTGGAAAGTGATTCCATTTCCGGTAGGCAAAGGGTTCAACACAGAAAAACGGTCTTCGTTGACATACATTACTTTTGGTTTGTTTTCCAAGACGCGAATCCGTAAATCTATGGAAAAAAAAGATAAATTATACATTAATTTTTCAGATATTGGGATTATGTGACTGTTCTTTATCTTATAGAATATCTAATATGAGTTGTCTAGATGCAAAAAAGCATCAGAATTAACTGAAAGAAATGCTAAAGGCCGTACCGCAATCTTCAGTTTTCAGCATAATACATGTTCCTCTTCAATACGTTTACTGAATTCAATTACTGTATAATCGAATGCATAGATCAGTCAATTTTACCTTTTCAAAGAGCTAAACCAGGGTACATTTAATGTTGATTCAAAAATTATATGCCTTCAAAAGCATTTGTTTCATATCCTATCTAGAGTCAAAAGTACGACAAGCTCTATGTACGTTCGAAGATGTTACGCTGGCGCAACTAGGACAATGTATTTGAAACTTTTTCCAAGTTTAAAAGAATATCATGTATACATACATGCCAGTGTCTCAAACTAATTATGTCTGTTGAATGGAAATTACATTTATATCCTATATCGCCATATTATTAATCCTTTTTAAGTTCAGCGATTGCAAATTGTGTTAAAATACCTTTCATTTTGCTTTTGAAGTATCTGGTTATGACAATCAGTGATAAAATGAAGAGAACAAGCAAAGTCCCGATTAAGATGATCAGAATGATTTCGGCCATGCGAAAGGCTTCAGATTCAGTTTGCGTGGTCACTAGAGACGCATCAGTAGTCACTTTGGTTGACGAGAACACACAGTGTAGACAGGTGTCCCCCGTGCAGCCAGCTCTTATCGCCCTTGGATTACCGCTGATATTGTAAAATCGGAAACCGGAAGTCAGCGTCAATTGGTCATTTCGGTACTCACCAACCTTTTCAAAAAAAAATTAGTGAGATTATATACATGCAACATAAACATATAATCTATTACGCATCCCCCATTTCCGATATTGGTTTCAAAGTACATGTACATGTGAATAAAACGAGTTTCTAAACTCGTAACTAAAAACTCGTATTTAGATTCCTCTAGTCTAGTTTTCGTTTTTAACTTGCAGAACAATACATTTGAAGGAATTTTGAATCGATAAAAAATACCAAAATATAGAGTACAACGCAATTAGTGGAAAGAAATCCTCTTGAATTTGAATTGTCATGAATCAGAAGAGGAACATCCTTTATTAAAACAGTAGTATACTGTACCTGTCTGTACTGGTATGAATTGATGTCGGTTTTCTGTATATTAAGAATCTGAAATCCTACATTTCCATTCCTTCTGGAGTTGAACACAGAAAACGCAGACCCCCTTACTGTTAATTCTACATTCTGGATCTCGGTAACTACCTCATCAACATGGCCTTTTATATTTTTACAGGGGAAGCTAACACCCATACACAGTTTATCTTTCACTTTCTCCATTGCAGTTCCCACAGCGAAGACAGCATTCATAACATGTACAATACGCTGATTTTTCAGGAATGTCTCCAGATTTGTATCGGTAAATTTCTTGTTCTCGGGACAATCGACGTCTTTAGTCTTGTCAAACATTCCAGGAGGATTGCAATTGAAAAAGTTGGCCCAGAAGTCCCGAAACCAGTCATTACTTGCCTGAACATCCGGTTTAAGAGAGGCTAAATAAGGACCGAAACCCTCCACGGCCGATCTTGTCTCAAACTTAGACGTGATTGAACCTTTCACAAAATCCCCATACTCATCTAGAATGTCCTGTCTCTCACCCCAATCTTCACTTGCGAGGAACACAACACTGTTATAATTGTCCTTCTTCATTTTCTCTAACAACGACTTCAGACGAACGTCTGTGCCAAAATACAAAAATACATCAGAACTGGTTCTTTTCATTTCATCGATCACATTAAATGAGTTATCTTCACCTTCTTCAATCTCAATCGCTTTGCCAATACAAATGTCGCTCTCATTAGCATACTGCATCAACAGTTCCTTCCCTTTACTTCCATAATTATTGTTCACGTACAGAATCCCGCCAATGTATTGCCATTTGAGGTGTTTGGCAATCTCTATCATCGCTCTGGCCTGATCCACGTCGCTGGGAACCGTCCTCAGAAAGTACGGATAATTGACTCGATCATCTAGATCTGGAGAGGAAGAGGCATAGCTGATCACTGGTATACCAAGGGAGGTAAACTGAAACGTCATGGGGACAGTAACGCCACTAGCTGCTGCACCTATCACTGTCACGATATTTTCAGGGTCAACAAAACTTCCTCTGCCGTCTGGAACTTTTAGTTTTCCGGACAAGAACTGGGATAAAGTCAGTGATATCCTGTTATGACTGTAACAATCATCAAACGCCAGAGCACTGAAACCCATGTTTGTCTTTTCGTTGATTTCCTTAACTGCGAAGAAGAACGCTTCCACAGCTAAGACAAAGTAAGATCCTGTGTTTAGTTCTCCACAGCCATATGTACTGGTGTCGTTTATGGTGTGAAGTGGAAATATTCCTAGTATAATAGCTTGACTCTTATTTCCGCCATAATAATAACGGTAGGGGATTTCTGGTTTCATCTGACAATTCTCGCAGACTCCAGAACAAGACGAAAGTGAGTATGGGGATAATGAACTGTTTACTTGTAGTGTTTGATTGACAAACTCTCCAACCTGAAGTACAAAATAGAAAGAATTTTAAAAACATTGCTTAATTATATTCCAAAACACTGTGAAAATTCAAATTATGCTTAAGTGTTTGAAGATTTATAGTTCTTTTTTTTATAAGGTGTAAGTATGATACCTTTACAAATTGTCCATTTCTGAAGACATTAATATCGTATAACGGCGTCGATTCTAAGGCGACATAGTCTCCGTTTGCGGTAAACTGGATTCTCCTTTCCTGCTCGATCAGTTCCTTTGGTTCTTGTGAAGCATTCAGTGAACTGTAAGAAAAATCTACAGTTTTCAACTTCTGTAAAAAGTTAGTTTGCAGATATTCCTCAAAATCATCACACATTGCTGTGTAACTCTGGCACTTTTCTTTGAATACATCATTGAAAGCTGTTGCCATAGCAAACACTGCATCCACTACAGGGCGAACATAATCCAGGCGATAGCTCTCTTGAGCCTCGTTTCCAATTTCATTCAATAATCTCTCGATTGGATCACTGGATGCAGAGTTCCTATTCCGCCATTTTTCCAAATAGTGATTTTTGGCTCCAGTGATTGATGTAGAGGCAGAAGAAACCGTTATATAACCACTGGAAACATTCTCAAATGCGCTGAAAACGTCTTCACTTCTTCCAACAAAATCCGTCATTAACCAAATCAACTCCCTGAATTTGTTATCCAATCGAAAACGACTCAATAGTGATTTGATCACATTCTTGTTTCCAAAGTAGATGACACCTAGTCTTTTGTTTTCAGCACGACTCTGCTGTTGCTCCAATTTGTTATACAAATTTTGTCTTGTAATATCTGAGCTAAAGTCTTCTGAGGGTCCAACACTTTCCACGACATCAACACAAATATTACGAGATTTTGCTAAAGCCTTTATTTCACTTATCCCACTGAAACCATAATTGTCATCTGTATGGATAGCGGCCACGTACGTCCATCTTAGTTCCACAAGCAACTGAACGATTGCCTGCAATGCAATGGGTTTTGTAAGCATTCAAATCCAGTACTAGTATTATTGAATTTATAAAAAAGAAGAAAAAAATGGTCTTAATCAGATTAATTTCTGGATTGCTTTATACATTTTCAGATTTAAAATGTTTGTATTATACAAAATCTCAAACAGGCTTCTTTTTTCTTACCTTGACCTGTTCTGTGTCACTGGGTGTGGTCCGCAAGAAGTTGTCATAGTTACTGAGCTCAGGAAGAGAAGCAAAGGGGCTCAGCATGGGTATATTTGTGTCCTTCAACAGCTTTACAATACTATAGGATGTCTGACTTCTTGATGTGCCAAGGATGCCTTCGCAATGAAAGAAATAGAACCAACTATAAAGAAGCAATTAATAATACAAAAACAATTTTAATTTTGTACATAAAATACTAGTAAATTACCTATTAGAAAAATCTAGAAAACAACACCTATTTCATGTAAAAGTACACAAATGTGCCTGACTGACTGACTGTAATGTTGAGGATGGCCTAGCTACTCATATTGCTGTTCAGCAGAGACTTACATAAGTTGAGAATTGTTGTATTTAATTACTGACACTGCTGGTCTGTAGAGAGAGAGGTTGTTAGGGTGAAGCTGATATTGCTGTACAGAGAGACTTACATAAGCTGAGGATGGTTCTGTTATTGACACAGCTGGTCTCTAGAGAGAGACTTACCTAGGGTGAGGCTGACATTGCAGGTCTGTACAGAGAGACTATCCTAAGTTGAGGATGGTTCTGTTACTGACACTGTTGTTCTGTACAAAAAGACTTCTTAGCTGAGGATGGTCTTGCTGCTGGTCAGCAAGCAGAGAGACTTACCTAGGTTGAGGATGGTCCAATTACTGACATTGCTGGTCTATACAGAAAGACTTACCTAAGTTGATGATAGTTCTATTACTGCCACAGATGGTCAGAAGAGAAACTTACCTAAGTTGAGGATGGCCCAGTTTCTGACACTGCTGACCTGTACAGAAAGAGTTACCTTAGTTGAGGATGCATGGGCGGATCTAGAGGGGAGACACTCTAAAATTTTCAGTTATTAAAATTGTTAAAGTAATGATAAAAATGACCTGGAACACCCCCTAGGAAACACAGACCCCTTTAAAAACGGTAAGGAGAGTCATCAATCAGAAGGAAATAGACTTATTTAAGTTTTGGCTTCCAACCAACCCCCTCCCCCACTCCACGAAATAGGATTTCAGCTTAATTTTGACAAGTTGTAAAGTTTTTTTGTCAAAAAAATTCCGAATCTGGCATTTGTTACAGTTGAGTTGAACCCCTCCCCCCGGGAAATATCCTGGATCCGCCCTGAGATGGTCCTATTACTGACACTTCTTGTCTGTACAGTGAGACTTACGTAAGTTGGAGATGGTCCTGTTGCCACCACAGCTGCTCCGACTAAAGATAATTAAGTTTGGAAAAGTTCTGCTGCAGAGAGTTGGTCAGAGAAGGGATACATAGTACCTAAGTTGGGAGTTGAAGATGATCCTGTTGCGGGCACCGCTAGTCAGCACAAGGATAAGAGAGCTGAGGATGGTCCTGTTCTCGATAATGTTAGTCAGAGATGCTTACCTAAGTTGAGGATAGTCCTGTTGCTACCACAGTTGGTCAACACGGATGGGAAATCTGTACTGACTGCATTCATGGCGCTGTATGTACTGAGCCTATCTAAGCCACAATCGTCATACACATCAAATCCTACAACACAATCGTAATACACATCAAATCTTACTAACAACACAATCGTAATATACACATCATATTCTATAATACAGCACAATATACCTCAAACTCTATAACAAAGTATGCACTTCTATTAAGTTCTATACCACAATGTCATACTCATCAAATTCTACAACAATGCTTCATACCAATTCAATAGAACACAGCGCCATACTGATACTATTTTTCAACACAGCATCATACATATCAAAACCTTAAACACAATCACCCTTCACATCAAATCCTTCAACACAATGTCGTACTAACATATCCTTCAACACAACGTCGTACACATTTAATCGTACAACACAGCATCATGCACATTAAATCCTGCAACAAACACATCAATACACATACATGTAATCATACACATCAACCCTTACAACAGAGCGCCATGCACATCAAGTCCTACAACACAGTATACATCAACTCTTACAACACAGCGTCATACACATCAAATCCTGCAACACACAGCCATACACGTCAATTCTTACAACACAGCGTCATACACATCAAATCCTGCAACACACAGCCATACACGTCAATTCTTACAACACAGCGTCATACACATCAAATCCTGCAACACACAGCCATACACGTCAATTCTTACAACACAGCGTCATACACATCAACACATGAAATATGGAGATAACCAACAACAATCAAGCTCAAAAGTCTATTTTAACAATACAAATTGGGAGCAGAGCAAACACGGACCTCTAAAAGCATCAGACGTGCGATCAGATGACAAGGAGGGATACCCCGGTAAGCATCCTAGTGTGTGCTCCTTGTCATGATCGGGCAAACGGAAAAATCCGTAGACAATTCAGTGTGTAAATAATGGCCTTACAACTTGTATGAAAAACTTCAGTCAGCATTAGACTTGATGATAGATTGTATTTGCTGACAAGGTCATTGCATCGACCATAGAATTTGCGAAGTGATGATTTAGTTTAAACGATACTGTTGATATTCTTGTTTCATCAGCTTTTTGGTCAATAGCTTGTCTCGTTTTAGAATTGTTCATATTTAGAGCATTATTTTGCGAACTGGAACTGGGAGACATATAAACTCCATATACAGGTGATAAGGGTATATTACCACATAAATAAGGGAAGTTGACGACAGAAAAGTTGAAGTCATCAGATTTATCATAAAGTTTTGTTGTTAGGTTACTATTATCGTCTTTATCTAATAAAATATCCAAATATGAAACAGATCTGTCAGACTGCGGTATCTTTCATTTCAAGCTTACTGGAATATAACAAGTCGACATATGAATGGAAGTATCTATTCTTAATTGATAATACGTCGTCGATATATCTAAATGTCGAGTTGAAGGTCACAGCAAGTGTTTTTTTCTTCTTCTTCTTCTCCAAAAAAATTTTTTCTCTCTAAAAAATTAAACTAAACTGAACTGAGACCTTTATACAATGGCGAAATGTCCGTCTGTCTGTCTAACTGTGTAGCTGTCTGTAAACACTAAATCTTAAAACGCTACTTCTCTTAGATTTGGTCCAGTTTTAATAAAACATGGAACACGTGCATCATACTAGAACATATTACTATTTGATGCCTTTCGACGATTAGTGTTGTCATGATTACTAAAAATATAATTTTCTGTAAATGACTTTTACAACTGTAATCCTTTGTGACAGAGTTGTTCAGTGTTGCAATGGTTACTGAAGATTAAATAAATTGTGTGGAATTCTTTAAATTCAACTACTTAATAATAAATATAATACACATGTGATTATCTGGATTGTAGAGAGGTGTCTTACAGAATGACGAGGGGAGTGGGTGGCTGTCGTTTTTCAATGTTTTCTTTTTCTCACGCATGCTTCTTTGTAAATATCTTGTTTGTTATATCCTCTCTATACTGTTGTTACAGTACATGAGAATAAACTAATTGTCTATTGTAAAAATATAATTAGGGTGGATAAGGGGGATTTTTTTTATCCGTCGTAATTTATTGAAAACTTCTACAGTTTAATTTTTCTCTAGTTAGAGATAAGTTTTTTTTTCAACTTTCCTAGAAATAAATAAAGAAAATATTTATAGACTAGTGGTATAGAAATAAACAGATATAAAAATAAATACTAAATGAAAATATTAAAATTCTAGATCTAGCACCTCTTCAGGAAGTGGCGGCTTTTGTGTCCTTTCTATTTTCACAAACGCACAAAATCCGAGGTTTGCGAGGATGCTCTGAAGTATTACTTATTTTAACAATAAAATAGTGATACTGAATTTGAGAAATATTTTGAAGCGGGTTTGACATTGAGGTTGACCTTGTATCGTCCTCTTGGTATTTGTAGTAAACGTCAACTAAACCGTATCAAGTTCTATTCAGCTGCATCTTAATTCAGGTACCTACAACACATCTATAGACAAATACTATCTACTAGAAAAATAAAATTTTCGAAAAATAAAAATTAAAACTCCTTTGATATGCCAATTCTTGAATTTAAAAAAATATCCATAACAAGATTCCTTATTGAATGAATGTTCATCATGTTCATTAGTTACAGATGAATGAAAAGAACGCTAAATAATGCAGTTGAGAATGCAAATGAGGCACACATTTCATAGATACTATGATCTACTATAGTCTCCCGATTTGGTAATTTCTGAATGGAGGTTAAATTCTCGGGTGAATGGCCCAGAAAGGATTTCCATACCGCTAAATCCCTGCCCATAGAAAGTTCCGTCACTCTATCCAGTTTTATCTCGGAGGCGATCTTACTTTTTAAATAAACGCTCTGAATATATCTGTACAGGGCATAGGCTATTTCATTACAGTTCGGTTTTACTTTAATAACATTTTTTTTTAAATTTAAAGGTAAAGATAACTTTTAAAAGTTACAAAATCGGAGATAATAGTATAAATATCAATAACACAGCGTCTGATGGTAATAGCTCCACTGTCGCCAAATAAATGTTTTCTTTCTCACGAAGAATATTGTCATAAGAATTGTGCCGTTTAAACTGTCTAATTAAGTTCAAATCGCGTTGAAAACAAGAACTTGTAGCAAGAATAAACTTACGACTTTGCATCTCAAAATAAACGTACTCTTAATTTTTTCATAATGCATAGTAAACAGGATACTATATACCGACACCTTCTACCAAGTGCACGTGTCATGTAGGCGTTAATTCGTAGGTGTTACGGAAAAGCAGTTTGTATAGGTTTCAACTTTAATTATGACCAATTTATATAAAAAAAAAAAACAAAAAATGATTAATTTTAAAGTATGCATCAAATAATATCCTTTCGTTATTTTTGACCGCAATTCGTATAGTTTCAGTTTTTCAAGTGAATTCATGAGCGTGATCAATATCGTAATAACTGTGGCATCTAACCTGTACACACTACGTTACTCTAGGGTTCTGTCATGTTGTAAATTCACTGCCTCCCAGAAAAGTCAAAATTTACAACATGACAGTTCCTTTGGTAAGTGTACTTAAGGTGATTATGATTATTTAGCAAGGAAAGAAATTGATAAGGAAACAATGTTCGAGTCTTTTTCATTAACATTGAATTTGCATTTTTGTATTCAGCGTTACAATGATTGTTCAGCGTAACAATGATTATATTACAATGTATGGTTGTATTTCAATGTACATTTATGATTGTGTGTATTACATTTTATGATTGTATTACATTGTATGATTGTATAACATTGTATGATTGTATTACAATGTAATTGGCGTTACCTACCGAGAGACAGAACCTTCAGATAACCTGCGGAGTTGATGATGTTGACGGCCCATTCTATTGCAGCCAAGTACTGAACTGCATTCTGGGATACTTTATAGCATTCCTCCGTCCTCGTGCTCTGACGGATGCTGCTCACTACGGCAAACCGCACCTGCGCAGTGGGGTTTATAACCAGAGGATTCGCATGACATTGCTGGTAACAGGAAACTGGGACAAATATGAAACAACCCAGGGAAAGAAGAATGAACAAATAAAATGACGCCATACTGTATATTAATTAAAATTCCTCCTAAGTAAAAATCTTATCCCAAATTTTCTATTGAGTTGAACGGAGTTGTTCTTGTTGCTTCAGCATAAACAATAGAGAGTCAGTTTCTGCAATGTACAGACTACAGTGTACCATCCTTTATTTTATCATTTGACACATTTCTTCCTTAACGCATTGGAATAAGTCACTGTCATATTTGCGGTAGTCTTTTGTTGTCGGGTGGAGTTGGTATTTTCATGTTAACAGGTATTCAGCACCGTTCAAAGGTAAATTATAGGTATATTTTCATTTTGACAGCGTACTATCTAAGTTATAATCAACTCCCTGGATTTGTGTAATTGGGTACTGTATTGTGACATAATTATTACATCAAAACATACAAGAATTCAAGAAGCACAGTTTAATTATCTGACTGTACACACAAGTTAATCCGATTTCGCATTGACAGCACTCAGAGACACAAAACGTGTCACACAGTAGTAACGAACACACAGAAATTCAATGGAAAATTCTTATTCATAGAATCAAAATATGGGGTCTGGGTTCCGACTGAGTACAAGAAATGACATACTGCGAATAAGTAGACCCCTGGTACATTTAAAACAGAGTACCGTCTATTATGTAAACACAAGGCCATTTAATTAACTCCATCTTTAGCTCATTAATTAATAACAACATACACACAATCCAATGTCATAAATTACGTTTCCTTCCGTCCACGTTCTAGTCATCATTGTCTGTCTACATGTATTGGACATTAAAAGAAGGACTGTACTACATCCAAAAGGACGGAACAAACTGCACATTTTCCAAACACGAGGTCACGGGTCCATTATCACTGAACATTACGGTATCGTTATTTCTTACGCGCGGTTTCAGTGCCTTTTGCTAAAATCACTCATCCTCATCGCCAAAACAAAGCCACATTTTGAAATGACAACAAAAAAGTGTCATCATATCGACACTCTCGCTTGTTTACAGGTAGATAACATTTTGTAAACACCAGGTATGTTTTGTCCTATCACCTGTTGTCGCGTCCTGATCGATATATTGAACTTCAGTAATTACAGACTTGTCTCGTGTAGATTCAGACTTCTGTTCGCGATCATCTTTTCTCCCCCTGAGGAGAGGTCATCCGTAAAGTTGAAAACCACTGCATTCCGTAGAATAATGAAATCATCCATATGCATTCATATCTGACCAGTGGAGCGTGTCTAGGGAGCGTATCAAGACATTGGAGTGTCAACACACCGCACACTTCACACACTATTCCATCTTTGACATTCTTTTTCATTACCTTTAAATTTCTAACCGAGTTTATCTTACATTTATATCTACAAAGTACACAATCTAATGAAAGAGTTGATATCTCTAAACCAATTAGCTGATCCCTGCTCGATTTTTAAATGGACTACACCTAAAGATTACTGTTTGCTAAACTCGATGCTAGACAGGAGTTTGCCAATGATAGTGGTATACATATTAAAAGAAAGAATCTTATACTTTGGGCCAACCAAAGTTTTTATGTATATTAAGCGTCTACCTAAAAATCAAAAACATTTCTTTCCATTCAGGAAAATTCTATTCGGGAAAAACAATGAAGCTAACGGGGGAAAACGAAATATTTTATAAGGGGGGGGGGGCAGAAAAATATTGACAACTTACGTGGAAAAACTTTGACAAGGAAAAACGAAAATTGTTCAAACGCAAAAATCCTAATTCGGTGGTGGTGGTGGTGGTGGTGAGGGGGGGGGGGGTCAACTTCTTTCCCAACCAAATTTTATTATTACCCCAATTTAACTATACTGCAAGAAACAGTGAACAATGAACAATTTCAATTTCAATTTCAATTTATTTATTGATTCACCAAACATGTTGGCATACAACCATGTTACATACAAAATGAAAAAATACAGTCTGTTTTCAGATTACTAAAACACATACTAAAGTACATACATACATGCAAGTGTACAAATCAGTGAAGTCAACTACGTTTACAACTTGAAGTTATACATAATCATTATGCAAATATATATAGTATAAACAGTATAATATGGACAGAGATGAACTAATTAATGCATTAAATATATATTATTGCGCTCTATTTTTAGAACGCAATTCAAAACATTCATGTAAAAATTCGCACAGCCTTCTAAAATGAATTTCAGCAGTATACTTAAATTTCTCAATTGATGACGAAGCAATTGCAAGATGCTAAGACACTGTAAAAACGCTGTAGTTTTATATTAAAAATATATGATTTATTCTGTCCTCCGTTAATTTATTTAATTTATTCATGATTTCATTTATAAATACTCTTATTATATGTACATGTTATTTGTATATTTATCTTTTTTTTCTTCTTTTTTTGTCCTCTTTCACTTTCATTTTCTGAATATGTATATCATATACTTGTACCCTCTGACCTGAATTTTATATGCTGTGAATATTTTTCATTGTCCTTATGTACAATATATTTTAGATGGCTTTCAGTGTATTTAAAAATGTGTGAGGGTTGGTGTGGGTGTTTTAATTGTCATTATAGTATTTTCATTACTGGAAATCCAATCCGTTCGCGGGCGCTAAACATCTAGGGGAATTGTTTTTGTCAGACTATAAGAAAACTCACCAAAAAAAAAAAAAAAAAAAAAACAAAACAAAAAAAAAACAAAACAAGTTCTATAGCACGCCCGTAGGAATCAATTTTAGTTGGTTGGGGAGGGGTATAACCAAACAAAAATTATCGACAATTAATGAAAATAAATAAATAAAAATAATACGGACGGTATTCCATGCAAAAATTTTGAGGGGTGCAATGGTAAATTAACTGTTTTCTTTTGTAATGTATATACTGGCCGCGAAATTCTATTCCCCATCCCCTTGTCATATTGAATTTACCGCCCGGGTGGTAGTAAATACAAAAATATTTTTGTATTTACTACCATGCACCCGGTAAATTCAAAAATTACAATATGACACCCTCCCCTACACTGCACCTCGAGAGTCGGCGTACTTACACTGTACGTGTACATGTATATACTATCAATTGAGGAATGGAATAAATTGAGGAATATATTCATTAATTAAAATAAGAATAGATATGGTATACATATTAGGTAATTACTGAAAGACTCTTTTATTGTATAGTTGGATATTTTTTTCTGTGGAACGGTTATTTTTTTTCCATGGTATACATGTATGATAAATAACTGTAATAAACATTATTTGACAATAAATGTCCAACGAGCCCCAGGGTTGAATATGGCAGGGATGGGGATGGGGTGTTTTTTTTTTGTCCACAAGTAAATGTGGTTTTCTCAAGATCTTAACATGCATGCTTAATTAAATACTTTCTTTTTCGGGGGGAGAGGGGGGGGGGGCTTTGGGTAGGCCTATGGTTTTAAATATATGACTAAGTGTCAATAAGTTAAACTAGTTTCACTTTTTTGGTTAAAATTAAAATGATTTTATTTTTTTACTTCAAAAATATAAAGGTTAGGTGCATTGCATAGAAATGAGATTGTATTCTGGTATTGCGGGATAGTTAGTTCCGTTCGCTGTGTTTCAGATATTAGCGTGCGAGCACATGTTTCCGCGTTTTCAAGATTCAATATTGATTATACGGTTGGGCTAAGCAAGTTTGTTTTTGTATGAAATATGTCTTGGATCTCCCTCTGATTGGTATCTGAACAGGTATTATGGATTTTAGGGTTGTATAATGCATATGTTTTTCTACATTAAGAGCATTTTTTTTGTTTTCTCCTCCTTTTTATCTCAATACATGGTCCCTAGATCGTAAACTGAGAACAGGCAAGTCAAAATTTTAAGTTGGTAAAACTGTTGAAATGATTTTGAACATAATTTTTATCAAATTTTTGTATTTGTATGTCACACTAACAAGTTTTAAAATATTTTTTTTGTGAAATAAAACCGTCTTCTCTCGGGTTATTGTCTTTGACCCAGGGTGGATATTCACTGTTTACCACTGTACCAATCCGAGTGGTTTCGCTCCGATTTCCTGTTGCGCTGAGTGCTTTCGCCCCCCCCCCCCCCCCCCCAATTCTCTGTTGGCTCTAAGTGGAGCTGCCTCAGGTGGTTTCCCACAAATTAAACGTACAGTGCACTGGATGCTTATGCAGGCAAAAGTAGTTTGAGCAGTGGGTGTTTAGATAACATGATTAATGAGCACATTAATTAAATTCTTTATAAAGTTGTTAATCAATACCAAATACTTATTTCTGATTTAGATGAAAAAACAACTTTTTTTTTTGGAAAATCAAGAAAAGAACAACTTCATCCATGTTTATATAAGTAAAACAAATAAGTTAGCCTCATAAATTTCATTTTGCATTGTCCATCATTTTATTAAATTTGAATGAATAAGATTTACTTTATGAAAAACGAATAATACAGAGATTTTTTTTCTACCAATTAGGAATGGTTCTTATACCGATTCTATTGGGAAAAATAGCATAGAAGTAGCTAGAACAAATGGGAATTCTCTGTTGTTGTTCATTATAAGTTTATTCTAACCTCATTTAACTATTATTCCATGTTTTAAAGAATACACAACAAGTGTCCTTTGTTTTAGTCATTTATCTCTCTTAACTGTTCTCACATTTTCATGCTTTCAAGTTATTATGACACTAGGCTCCTCTCTACAGCACGTATTGTCACATTATGACTGATCTCTACTTTCAATTTAAGAGTATGTGAAAAATTTAGTCACCTTTACAATGTATCTACGATGTCATTGCAGTTTGTTCCTGGACAGTTGAATTTGAAATTTTTAGTCTCAAAATTTGGAAAAATAACATTTTTTTGGCACTGGGAAATGTACCATGTATTTGCACCAGTTATGTAAGGAAAAAATAGATATATAGACATATATATATATACAATGTACTGACAAATTACCGTAATAGGGGGATTGATGCAAGTATTTATAATCAGGGTGAAACCACTTGATGTGAAACTACTCAGAGCGAATGTAATCCGTTATCCAATGTACTCTTTGAAGAAATTTGATCATTGATAATCAACAGATAAGAGTGAACAGTAGGGATGGGTATTGCCAAAAATTACCTATCGCAATATATCACGATTTTCCCCCAGAATATCACGATAATATCTTGATATTTTTACAAGCAATTTTTACAATGATTTTAAATAAAAATTCGTAATTTTTGCTGTAAACATGGTAAAGGATAACTCACTTTTTTTCATTTTTTTTTTACATAATATAAGGCATATTTGGATGATTGGATGCCGTTCTTATACAGTTTTCAACATTTTGAATTCTTCCTAAAAGATTGAACAAATAAATGAGTAATTTCTGGAATTCACAATTATATACCTTAAATACCGGTATTTTAGTCTCCATATCACAATACGTATCACACAATTAAAAATCATGATATACCGGTACATGTATACTGATAAAATCGCACATCCCTAGTGGACAGATTATTGTAGAATATAAAATAAATTAGTTAATAACACTTACATAATATATTTATGTTTTTTTTTATTAAAACCAGACCATTTGATTGATGCATCATTCTTCCCCTAATTGTCTAAACATGATAAGAAAAAAACAGCTAGCAATGAACATGCTTATAACAATGTCCACAACATGCATACATTATGTAAGCCTTAAGAGAAAACAATGTTTATTAACATTCTGAATTATATTTTTTAAATCTATTTTTGTCAAGATTTAGATGAAAAAATGTAAAATATATTTTGAAGTAGATAAGATTTAAAGTGTATTTTAATGTTATTTAATAATTATATTAATTGTTCTTGAAAGATGCTGTGCAGTACTCTTTTGTTGTTTCAGTAAGACAACATGGGTAATTAAGTTTATTGAATTATTTATAATTAATAGTATTTTATACCAGAATGTACTGTGTATTTTATATTACAGATAGGAACTATTTGTACAAATGGGAAAAACAAAGAAACAGCAAAAAAGTGAAAAACCCAGTAAAGTAAAACATTCCAGCACGTTTAAACCACACTCAAAAAAGAAGTCAAAAGGGCCTAAGAAAGGAAAGGGTATTAGTAGCTCCATGTTGGAAAATGTGTTGGATAAACAAGAAAACTTTTATGGTAAAAGAAAGTCAACTTCTGTAAAACATCTGAAGAAAAGTAAAAATCAAAATTTACAAGCTTCAGAAAAGTTTAAAAATCCAGGACAAAGTGCTTTCACTGTGTTGCGAGGGGGTGTGTCAGATGAGACAGGCCAGAAAAATAAATCTGCTGGTGAGAGCCAAGCAGAGAGGAAAGGTCCAGCTCAAAATAAGTCAAAGGAAAAACTAAGTACTAAGAAAAGTAAAGTGAAGCAGAGTGTTTCTAGACAGAATTCAGCAGAGCAAAATACAGAGACTTCCACTTCCAGTGTAGCCAGCTTACCTGTGCCATCTTCAGATAAAAAAATTTGTAATAGTTTTAAGTTCATTGGTGTGAACATTGAGAGTCCTGATATAGAGTCAGGAGAGAGTAGTCGAAAGAGGAAAAGAAAAAAAAGTGTGAAACTGCATCAAAAGGGGAAAACAGAAGAGTCCTCAGGACAAAACTTAAAAGGTTAGCAGGAGTAATTTAAGGAATGAATTTAATAGATACCCAAGTTCCCTAACCTGGGTTGGGGCAGTTCAGCTTTAGAAACCGCAAAGCAGTTTATAGAAAAGTGTAAACTGTTCCAAACCAGGTTATACTAGTAAAACTTGGGTACCTGTCAATGTTTAATTGTCCTTCATTAAGTGAAGAAATAAGAAGATTTCTCCTTCAAAAATGCCTTCAAGTTATACATATTTTAAATGTAATGTCAAGCGAATTGATATGTTTTTGACGCAAGTCATTGTGATGTAGGCAAGACAGGTTATACAATTTAAAATAATTTTTTATCCAATGAAATGACAAATTATTTTATATACAGTCAAACCTCATTATCACCAACTCAATGGGCCAAGGAAAAAACAGAGATATTTCCAAGGATTCTAGATATCAAGGGTAAAATATTTAAAGAATAAGTGGATAAGACTTTCTAAATCTCTTTGAAATATCCATTGTATTGGAGATATTAATGTTTGACTGTAAATCACCAAATTTTCTTGACACTTTAATTTCACGAGATGGCTATTTGGTATTTATAAGCGAGACATAATTTTAATCTTTTGTACTACAAATATACGCGAGAATTAAAATTTCGCATTCAACCTTGCATAATTACGGGAAAATAATGTTCTCGCTGATAAAAAGTCATCTACAGTACTGCATATTTTTTCTTTGAAAAGGAGTTGTAAATTAACAAAGAGAAAGAAAGAAAGAAAGAGAAATTTAAATGTTAATGATAGAATAGGATGTGTGGGAGATACTTGGCATGCTTTTAAGATTATTTTATATTTAGAGATTTGATGTTTTTCACCAATATTTTTCTGTATACACTGATATAGCAATACAGTTGAACTTAGGTATGTTGAACACTGATTACCATGGATATGTGTCAAAATGATTTGGAAGTCCCAAACGCTTATTCCTTAAGTATTTTACCCTGGATATCTTGAATCCTCAGAGATCTTGAAGTATTTTCTTGGTCCCATCAAGTTCAAGACAACAAGGTTTGACTGTATTTTTATCACTGTACACTTTACTTTTTTCTTGCAGATAAGAGTCACATTAAGAAAAAGGGAAAGAAAAGAAAAATGGATGAAAAACTTAATGAAGGCATCAAAAACAAAGAGAAGATACAAGATGATTCTACTACAAAAAAGAACAAGACTTTAAAAGACTCACCCAGACAATCAGGGGCAGACAACCCAGCAGGGGAGGAGTCCCTCCCAGAGGTGATTAATCTGATTGAGTCTGATTCTGAGATTTCAGACAGTGACTTCTCTGTTGTTGATCTCACTCTAGATGATACTGAAAACGAGGCTGTGAACTTTGAACAAAACCAAGATTTTGAAACCCACACAGTTCCAGAGGAGAGGCAAGCTTTAAATGGGGAAGAAATGAGTACAAATGCTGAGTGTTTGAGTGTAGAGGATGTGGAAAGTGACAAAATTACTCACATAAATAACAGAACAGACTCTGAAGAGGTGGAAGTAGGGTCAGGGCAAGAACAACACAGGTAACCAAACTTTCTATCTTGCAGCAGAGATTATACAATTATGTATGTACTTTTTATGACTAAATTGACATTGCTTAACAATTCTTCATTATGGTAGTCATGTTTGGTATGGCCAAAATTACATGTAACAGTGACTGTACAAGATATGGCACAATCCCCTGACACCTGTCTTTAAATTTATTAAGACTAGATATACATATGTATTCTGGAACTTAAGGTAATAGAATTTTCTCTCTGAAAGTTGTTTTTATTGTCATCATTTTGTTGGCAGATCTAGAGCTTTGGCCGCCTTTGATGGACAGGTGCTTGTTGTATTACCTAACCCAGGTGTGTACTGTTACCTGGGTAGGTGCTTCTTAAAATGTCTCCACGGAGGGGCTGCAGTACTGGGGTACCAGTTAACTGACCAGTTTGAGGCTTTCTACTCCCCATCTTGTAGCAGTCTGTTGACCATCACCACCAGTGAGAAACTGTCAAAGGAGGAAGAAAAGGTGACAGAATCAGAGTCCAACAGAAAAAAGAAATCTAAGTTCAAGAGAAAAAGCAGAGAGATATTAACAGAACAGGAGAGTGTGGAGAAGATATACTCAGACTGGTTATTGTTGAGTAAGGATATGGAGAAATTACCCAGGGAGAAAGTGACCATACTGCTGGCCAGGAAGATGGAGTCTAATGTCTGTGACTACATCTCCACTTTTAAGGCATTTCATAAACTCTGGGATAATCCTGTTACTAATCAACAGAGAACACAGGATCTCGGGACTGATGACCTTAAATTGAACTCTGTAGGACTGACCTTTATTCCTGACACTGCAGAGGTTGCTAGGCAACACGTTTCACAGCAGCAGATGGAGTTAATCCAGAGATGGGATGATCTTCTGAGCTCTGGTATATATCAGTATCTGATGGATACCATGTTGTAAATTATCTGATGTTAGACTTAAAATTATTTGTTGGGTCAAGATTATTAGGATCATGTTCATGTCTGATTTTAAATATATGAAGAGTAAAAAATTGTAAGGAACAGTAATGAATTAATGTTAAGAAGAAGCAACTCTGCGGCTTTGTTATGTGAAATTAGCAGAATTTATATTGTTTCTCATCAGCTATACTTCAGAAATATTCAGATTTAAGAGCAAAAACACTGTAGATCATATCTGAAGTTTTGGCTTTGTTTATATACAAAAGGAAATATTTCGTAATTAATATGAAAGAAATGAAGAAATGCAAACTTAGTTGTTTATAAATAATTTTTTTCAGATGCTAAAATGCATTAGCATACTTTGTTTTAGATCCGGCTCCAATAGTTATGGTAGTGGGTGGAAAAAACGTGGGTAAATCTACCCTTAACAGATATCTTGTTAACCATACTTTAAACAAGTAAGTTACTGAACATCATTATACAATAATTATTATGGACTTCAATGTAGGTCAATATGTTGTTATAAGGACCCGTGTCAAGTGATATTGACCTCAGACACAAAAAATATTAACCTCAGACACAGAAAATGATAGCAACCTTGCAAGCTTGGTCACATCAATATCACAAAAGAATGCATAAATCAAGTGACATCCTCTCAGCCAATGAAAATTAGGGAAATTATCCTCTTATATAAAATTGATCATTAATGATCATTAGATTCTTTAGGATGTCCAAGTTTTAGAAATAGGATGGAGCATTGTTAGATATTATGAATATAGTCTCTTAGTATTGTAGACATCAGAATTGTAGATCTATGAGTGGTTAGGTGTTTTAAAAACAATGTTATCTTTATATTTCAGAAGGTCAGAGTTATGTTACTTGGAATGTGACATTGGGCAGACAGAATTCACTCCCCCTGGTTGTATTAGTTTACAACTTGTTAATGGTCCAATTTTAGGTTAGTATAAAAGGATATTCCATAATATAAATAGTCGTGACTTCTTGTTAATGTAGCTTTATATAAGGGAGAGAATCCAGAGAATGGCTCCTCACTTAAACATGTGTAGCTAGAGCTATATCATTATTTTAGGTCCACCATTCACACACCAGAAAATACCCAAAATGTGAGTAAAATGATTTTAGTTGAATGTACAACATAAACTGGCTTACATAGAGTGAATTCATATACATATTGCTAATGGAAAATCTCTCTATATACATGTATATCAATACATTTAACAACTGGTAGAGTGAAACTATGAGTTTGGATTGTGTTACAATATTGTTATTCTATTGATCCAATGTAAAGCAGAGACAACAGTGAATTTTTACATTTCATTCAAAGTTTTCTGTTTGCAGTTGTTATTATTATGGTGGTTTGACTGCCACAGACAACCCTAATTTGTACATGGAGTGTATCAGAAAATGTTTGCTGGAGTACAGGAAATTAGAGAAAACTAGGGAGACAGGGCTCCCTCTTGTGGTCAACACAATGGGGTGGATCGAAGGTTAGTCAACACAGTGGGGTGGATCAAAGGTTAGTCAAACACAATGGGGCTGATCAAAGGTTAGTCAACACAATGGGGCTGATCAAAGGTTAGTCAACACAGTGGGGTGGATCAAAGGTTAGTCAAACACAATGGGGCTGATCGAAGGTTAGTCAAACAAATTGGGCTGATCGAAGGTTAGTCAACACAAGGGGATGGATTGAAGGTTAATCGACACAAATTAGTGGACCAAAGGTTAGTCAACACAGTCAGGTGGATCAAAGGTTAGTCAACACAAGGGGGTGGACAGAATGTTAGTCAACACAGTTTGGTGGATCAAAGGTTAGTAAAACACAAAGGCTAGTCAAACACAATAGGGTGGATCAAAGATAAGTCAAACACAGTGGGGTGGATCAAAGGTAAGTTAACACAGTGGGGTGGATCAAGGTAAGTAAACACAATGTGGTGGATCGAAGGTAGGCTGCATTGTGGTGGTCAACAGAATTGGGGTAAATGATATAGTCACTTTGTGGGAATCCATACAAATTAGTGGATAAGATGCTATATGGTGGTCAGCACATACAGAGTTCGATCAAAGTAATCCACAGAAACATCTATTTAATAAGATGTAATATGAGTATGCATGTTTACTGAATGATTTTATACATTATTTTTGTAAATTGGTTTATTTGTATATTATAAGGAATTTAAAAATACTTGACAGTTTGATATAACCATTACCTTTAAAAAGGACCTTATAAATCATATGTAAATACAAGTATAGGAACACGAAATGTGAATTTCAAGAAAAAATTAAGAGTTGAAGTTCAATCAATCAATCAGTGAGTGATTTCTTGGCCAGATCTTGGACTGGAGCTTTTGATCAGTGTAATTAGAATGACCCTGCCTAGTCTCCTGGTCCAGATTAACTTCAGCAACAACAAGATGAACGCTGCTCCCCTCACCCCGGAGTTTGTTAACGACAGACAGGGCTGGGTCAGGCACTCTAGGGTGAGTAAATAAAAGGAGTAAGATGTTAGAAATTTCATATAATTTAGGAGGATATTATTCTTTAACATTTTTCTCACACATTTCCTTGTATCATAGACTTCCAGTATAATGTTGATAACTTGATGGTTCAGAGTGTAATCTTTAGTGTAAATTATAAGTAAGAAATTATCAAATTGAAAAAAGAAAATGTTCTCATAATGAAGGAATTGGATTGTCTGTTTAGGTTTGGTCTGTTAGAGTTTATATCTGTTCATACTTTTAACCTGAAACTTTAACCCTCTCTTACAATTCCTGGACCCCAAATTGGGCAACATTGATGAATTCAGCCATTGTTGCTGTATTTGGCAAATGTGGAGTTGCAAATTTCAGCAATTCAGCAATTTATCAATATTTTAGCAATTACTTGTACAATATTGAATAACAAATTCAAAGATATATAAGAAAATAATTTTCAGTTAAAATTAAGCAGGTGTAGATGACCTGTTTTTCTGATTGATTTAATTTGCTTTATAGTATTACAGGAGTCATTATATGCTGGATATACTGGGAGATACTAACCACTCATTGGTCAGATTGGACTCGCCCACAAATGTTGTCAGGTATAACAGAGGTTCTTATGTACTAAACTGATTATCATATCTGACTATGACTTCTTAAAATCTCCTGTCTAGAGAATGGTCAATTTAATATATGAATATTTCATCTTTTTAAAGAAATCAGCTTATTTAAGTTTGAATATTTCATCATGAAATGAACTGATAATCTAATTAATACTGTTTTCTTGAACTTCGTTTAAAGTTGTATTTTTCTTATCTATGAAATCCTGAAGATGTCGGAATCATTGGAAACCATTTGAGCTGCGTGATCTAGCGGTGATCAGTTACATGAGCTCTACACTCAGTAAGGACTCGAGCCTGAGTCTGGAGACACCATACGGAGTCCCGTGGGAGGACATGGCTATCAATATCTGTAAGAGAGGAGTTCCGAGAGAAGAGTGGATGGCAGCCATTAATGCCACAATTGTAGGTCTGGCTCATGCAGATCTGACAGAGGTAACAATGTATTAAAACCCCGCACCTTACCACCCATCCACTGACAGAGGTAACAATGTGTTTTCACCCCCTCACCTTACCACCTACCCACTGACAGAGGTAACATTGTGTTTACATCCCCTCACCTTACCACCCACCCACTGGCAGAGGTAACAATGTGTTTACATCCCCTCACCTTACCACCCACCCACTGACAGAGGTAATGATGTGTTTACACCCCCTCACCTTACCACCCACCCACTGACAGAAGTAATGATGTGTTTACACCCCCTCACCTTACCACCCACACACTGACAGAGGTAACAATGTATTTACACCCTCTCACCTTACCACCCACCCACTGGCAGAGGTAACAATGTGTTTACACCCCCTCACCTTACCACCCACCCACTGACAGAGGTAATGATGTGTTTACACCCCTCACCTTACCACCCACACACTGACAGAGGTAACAATGTGTTCACACCCTCTCACCTTACCACCCACCCACTGACAGAGGTAACAATGTGTTTACACCCCCTCACCTTACCACCCACCCACTGACAGAGGTAACAATGTATTAAAACCCCTCACCTTACCACCCACCCACAACCTCTCAAAAATACGAAAAAAATATTCAAGTTAAAAGTATGTGTATGTCTGAACTGATATATTTTTTTAAATGTAACTTTTTCTTGCCTGTTATATTCATGTACATATACTGGACTGTATGTTAAACATCATTAGAAGCAGATATTCAGTAGAAATCTATCATTTGTTAATGAGTGATATGGGAAAAAAATAATCCTAGGTAAGAAAATAAGCAAAGATAAATCCTAATAATGCCTTTCTAGTTTTTATGGCTATATAATTAAGATTTGGGGCATATATTTTTGGTCCATCTGTTTGTTTGTCTGCAAAAACATTAACCTTGGCCATAACTTTTAAATGGTTGCTGCTAGGGCTTTCATATTTCAAATGTTTATTCCTTGTGACAAGACCTTTTTTTGGGTACCATTTACCGTTTTGGTAACGTTTTTGACCTCATGACCTTGATATTTGTGTTTGACCTAATTTTGAAACTTTGACCTTGGCCATAACTTTGAGTGGATGGTGTGAGGGCTTTCATATTTCACGTGCATTTCTTGTGAAAAGACCCTCTTTGGGTAGCAACATTTTTGATCTATTGAAAGTGGAGTTTGACCTAATTTTGTAAAACATCAAAATCTTGGCCATAACTTTTGAAGGTCTGGTGCTAGCGCTTTCGTGCTTTTGTGTACAAGACTTTTCTTTGGGCACCAAGTTTTAGCTCACCTGAGCAGAAAGCTCAAGTGAGCTTTTCTGATCACATTTTGTCCGTCGTCCATCTGTTCGTCCGTCTGTAAACTTTTCACATTTTCGACTTCTTCTCCAGAACCACTGAGCCAATTTCAACCAAACTTGCCAGCATCCTTGGGTAAAGGGGGTTCAAGTTTGTTCAAATGATGGGCCGCGTCCTCTTCCAAGAGGAGATAATTAAGAATTCGTGAAAATTTGGTGTCATCTTTTAAAAATCTTCTTCTCAAGAATCATTGGGCCAGAAAAGTTGAAACTTAGGTGAAATCTTCATTACATAGTGTAGATTCAAGTTTGTTCAAATCATGACCCCTAGGGCTAGGGTGGGGCCACAATGGGGGATCAGAGTTTTACATAGGAATATATTAGAGTGAACTCTTTTATAAGCACTTGGGCTTGAAACTTTGCAACAGCAATAAATAGAATAATGATCCTTAGTTTAGTCTCTTTTTGTTTGTGATAAATTGCAATCAGACCAAAACTGTACAAGGAGTGGTGTTTTGAAAGTATTTCACAGAAATTTCTATTTTAAGTAACCATGCCAACACTATCAAAATCAAAAACTGATAAAGAGAATTACGTAGCTTAGGGATAATTAATAAAAAGGTTAAGAAGTTACATGACTCTGCATAATGAATTATTGCAACTCTGTACCAGTGCTTTTGCATTTTATTAATTCCTGATGTATATCCTTGATTATTATTGTGTTATTTCAGGCAAGAAGAGAGAAGGAAGGGGAGCCATATTTTTTTGAGAGCACACCACTCTGCTTATGCATTGGATTTGGTTTGTTTATCACAGATAAAAAATCTTAATATACATTTAAAACATCTCACTGTACATTCATGATTATTGATGTATCCATTTAGAAAAGACATATTTACCATGAACACATCACCTACAAACAGGAGTAATGTTTCTTTCTGAACTTTGAAAAGTATCCTTGAGCAATATTTACAGATTTATGTGAAAAGTCTTTGTTAAGTCTGCCATGAAAATATAAACCTTCAAAGCAGAGTTGTCTTTCCTTCTCAATATTGTAAATATTATTGAATTTGCATAATTTAGGAAGTCTTCTGCTACATATGTTTGAGTCTTTCTTGCCAGTAGGGTCAGTTCTTTGGAAAATTTTCTGGGAAACTTCAGATGAAGGGAACAAAAATTGTAAAATTTAATGATCTTCAATGCTTGTACAGCTGTACCCTTATGATAAAAGACCAATGCAAGGGGCTGGGACCAATACATGAATTATCAGAATTAATATTGTAGAAAACAGAAGTTAAAGTGTTATAGTTTTTAAAAGAAAAAAGATTGTTCAGTGTTTTTGAAAAACAGGTTATAAAATCATTTGATAATAACTGATGTTAAAAAATTAGACACTTTTTCAAACATTTTAAAATATTTTCTAAAGTTCCTGTAGAGATACATGTACTTCAAAATGATTTTTATGTTTTTTGAATGCTATTTTGAGAATGATCATTTTTAATAACATTTTAAAAATATCTTGCCTAAAATATTTCAGGAAACCCTTAATACAACTTGATAAAATGTTCTGCAAAATATGAAAACAAAACAATGCTTATACATGTAACTGCTTGTAGATTTCTAAGATAACAAAATTTTAGTTTGTGAAGACCTTTGTACAGGCAATGAACTCTCTTTTTAAGGTATGGTCCGATCCATTGATACTGTGAAGAAGATGATCTATATAACAACACCACTGAGTCTCGTAGATCTAGTCAATGTCAACACGATCATCAGGGGCTCCAGTAATGTCCCACAGCAAATATTTACAGAACAAATTACCAAGGTTTGTGTATATTTGTTATCTGTATGTTACTCCAGTAATGTCCCACAGCAAATATTTACAGAACAAATTACCAAGGTTTGTGTATATTTGTTATCTGTATGTTACTCCAGTAATGTCCCACAACAAATATTTACAGAACAGATGACCAAGGTTTGTATATATTTGTTATCTGTATGTTACTCCAGTAATGTCCCACAGCAATATTTACAGAACAGATTACCAAGGTTTGTATATATTTGTTATCTGTATGTTACTCCAGTAATGTCCCACAACAAACATTTACAGAACAGATTACCAAGGTTTGTATATATTTGTTATCTGTATGTTACTCCAGTAATGTCCCACAACAAATATTTACAGAACAGATGACCAAGGTTTGTATATATTTGTTATCTGTATGTTACATAGAGGAGAAAAATGTGATAGACCAGACCAGGATTTGATCCTGGACCCCTGAAACACAAGTCAGTTTTTTTTCAACAAATCTGTTGGAACTCTCATGGGTACCAATTGCACAACGGTATACACAGGCCTCTTTTTATATTCATATGAAGCAGAATTTATTAAACAAGAGGCCCAAGGGCCTTAACGGTCACCTGAGTATAATGCAACAATTTAGAGGATCCATAGAGTATAAAATGAACTGAGAGGTGAAGCTTTGTTGCCCAAAAGCAAGAAAAATAGGGTGATCAGGATCAACAAAATAATTACTCTAGTATCCATTAACAGTTCATAAATTAGGTTCTAATCTGTTCCCCATTTATCACTATCACCATACAGTATATTAACAAACTATCGGTGCTTCTGTACTATTTTAATTCCTAGTTGAGATCTCTTACATTGGCCTCTTTGGTCTTGGATGAACATTTAAAAAGACAAGTTATTTTTGTCTCATTTTTATTATGCCCCCGGATCGAAAGATCCCGGGGGTATATTGTTTTTGTCCTGTCTGTCTGTTTGTCTGTTTGTCCGTTTGTCTGTTTGTCCGTTTATCTGTTTGTCTGTCTGTCTGTTGTCAACTTTAACCTTGCCCATAACTTTTGATTGGTTGGAGCTATGACTTTCATATTTCACATGTGTATTCCTTGTGACAAGACCTTTCTTTGGGTACCATCATATTTGACCTTTTGACCTTGACCTTGGAGTTTGACCCACTTTTGCAAAATATTATGAGACTTTAACCTTGGCCATAACTTCTGAACAGTTGGTGCTTGGGGTTTCAAACTTCGCATGTGTATTTCTTGTGACAAGGCCTTCCTTTAGATACCAACAACTTTGACCTTTTGACCTTGACCTTGGAGTTTGACCTACTTTTGAAAAACTTTAACCTTGGCCATAACTTTTTAACAGTTGGTGGTTAGGGTTTCAAACTTCACATGTGTATTCCTTGTGACAAGACCTTCCTCTGGATATCAACCACTTTGACCCTTTGACCTTGACCTTGGAGTTTGACCTACTTTTGAAAAACTTTAACCTTGGCCATAACTTTTGAATGGTTGGAGCTAGGGCTTTCATACTTCAAATATGTAATCCTTGCGACAAGACCTTCCTTTGGATACCAACCACCACTCTGACCCTTTGACCTTGACCTAGGAGTTTGACCTACTTTTGAAAAACTTTAACCTTGGCCATAACTTTTGAATGGTTGGTGCTAGGGCTTTCATACTTCACATATGTAATCTTCGTGACAAGATCTTCCTTTGGATACCAACCACTTTGACCTTGACCTTGACATTTGACTTTTATTTAAAAAACTTTAACGTTTGCCATAACTTTTGAACAGTTGTATCTAGGTCTTCCAAATTTCACTGGTGTATTCCTCGAGACAAGACCTTTCTTTGGGTATCAACATTTTTTATCTTTTGACCTGGATTTTGACTTGCATTTGAAGAAACTTTAACCTTCGCCATAAGCTGCCATACGGGGGCATCAGTGTTTCACAAACACATCTTGTTATTTATCTATTACTTACAAGTCTACCTGATTATTAAAACTATGAATGTACTTTTTGTATTATACAATAAAAATTCTTGCATAATTTTCTTATTCTATTAACCTTTTAAGTACATTATTTACAGTGATTAATTATCAAAAGTAAATGGCAAAAGGGAATAACTCCTCTCAGTAGAATACAAATTAATATATGCCAGGACCAGAACACTTGACCAAATGGTCGAGATGTTCAAAAATCTGGTAAAAATACTCTTCCTTATTAAACTTTTACTCTTTTTGCCCCTGATATGCCCAGGTGCAGAGAAGATTTTTAAAGAAATAATGCATTTTTATTACAGATTCACTATATTATCAATAAAGCCCCCCCCCCCCCCTCCCCAGCGGGAAACACCAGAGCCTCTCACATTGGGACCAGAAGTTTGCCCATCATAAGTAGTCACTTTGTTTATCTGCTTAACACTAAGAGCAGACAGGATTGTTTAATAGAATTAATGCATTTTCACTATATTATAAGGAGCTCCACCCTTACACCAGCACATCTGACCCAGGGGTCATGCAATTCACTGCTCTGGAAGAAGCACTCTTGCTCATCATAACTATACACTTAGCTTCTTTGCTTTTTAACCAGGAGCAGAAAAGAATATTTTCAAAGAAATTTTGCTTTTTCACTATATAATCAATAGAGCACCCCCCCCCCCCCCCCGTTTTCACCAGAACTCTTGACCCTGGGGCCATGAAATTCACAATTTTTGAAGAGGCATCCTTGCGTATCATAACAATGTACTTAATTTTTTAAAATAATACCCAGGGGCAGAGAAGAAGATTATCAAAGAAATAATTCACCTTCACTATAGGATCTATATAGCCCCATCCTAACACCAGAACCCCTGATCCATGGGCCATGAATTTCACAATTTTGGAAGAGGCATCCTTGATCATCATGACAATGTACTTAGTTTGTTTAAATAATGCCCAGAAGCAGAGAAGAAGATTTTTAAACATAAATGCATTCTCACTCTATAATAAATAGAGCCCCACCCTAACACCAGAACCCCTGATCCAGGGGCCATGAAATTCTTAATTTTGGAAGAGGCATCCTTGCTTATCATAACTATGTATTTAATTTGTTTAAATAATACCCAAGAGTAGAGAAGAAGATTTTCAAAGAAATAATGCACTTTCACTATATGATCTATATAGCCTCGCCCTAGCACCAGAACCCCTGACCCTGGGGCTATGAATTTCATAATTTTGGTAGAGTCACACTATGTATTTAATTTGTTTAAATAATACCCAGGAGTAGAGAAGAAGATTTTCAAAGAAATAATGCACTTTCACTATATGATCTATATAGCCCCGCCCTAGCACCAGAACCCCTGACCCTGGGGCTATGAATTTCATAATTTTGGTAGAGTCACTCTTGCTTATCAGAACTATGTATTCAATTGGTTTAAATAATACCCAGGAGTAGAGAAGAAGATTTTCAAGGAAATAATGCACTTTCACTATATGTTGTATATAGCCCTGCCCTAGCACCAGAACCCTTGACCCTGGGGCTATGAATTTCACAATTTTGGTAGAGTCATTCTTGCTTATCATAACTATGTATTTAATTTGTTAAGATAAAACCCAGGAGTAGAGAAGAAGATTTTCAAAGAAATAATGCACTTTCACTATATGATCTATATAGCCCCGCCCTAGCAGCAGAACCCCTGACCCTGGGGCCATGAATTTCACAATTTTGGTAGAGGGCTCAATGCTTATCAGTACTATGTATTTAATTTGTTTAAATAATATCCAGGAGTAGAGAAGAAGATTTTCAAAGAAATAATGCACTTTCACTATATGATCTATATAGCCCCGCCCTAGCACCAGAACCCTTGACCCTGGGGCTATGAATTTCACAATTTTGGTAGAGTCACTCTTGCTTATCAGAACTATGTATTTAATTTGTTTAAATAATACCCAGGAGTAGAGAAGAAGATTTTCAAAGAAATAATGCACTTTCACTATATGATCTATATAGCCCCGCCCTAGCAGCAGAACCCCTGACCCTGGGGCTATGAATTTCACAATTTTGGTAGAGTCATTCTTGCTTATCATAACTATGTATTTAATTTGTTTAGATAAAACCCAGGAGTAGAGAAGAAGATTTTCAAAGAAATAATGCACTTTCACTATATGATCTATATAGCCCCGCCCTAGCAGCAGAACCCCTGACCCTGGGGCCATGAATTTCACAATTTTGGTAGAGGGCTCAATGCTTATTACAATCATGCCAACAGTTTGACTGCTTGATGTCCAGGAGTAAAGAAGAAAATTTTTAGCTCACCTTGACGAAGTCGAGATGAGCTTAAGTATGCTATACCCCCGGCGTTGGCGTCGGCATTAGCGTCAGCATCCCGGTTAAAGTTTTAGGAGCAAGTCTCATTCCTACGTAACTATAGGCCCTACCTGGACCAAACTTGCATGGATGATGCATCTAGGGATGGACACTACCACACTTGCTTCAGATGCTGGATCTGACCTAGATTTTCTAGATGATTGACCAGGTTAAAGTTTTTGGAGCAGGTTCATTCCCAAGGAATTATAAGCCCTACCTGGACTAAACTTGCATGGATGATGCATCTAGGGATGGACACTACCACGCTGGCTTCGGATGCTGGATCTGACCTAGATTTTCCAGATGAGTGACCAGGTTAAAGTTTTTGGAGCAGGTCCATTCCCAAGTAACTATAAGCCCTACCTGGACCAAACTTGCATGGATGATGATTGACTCAGGTGACCTAAAAACTTATACATGCGAATAAGACACTTGCTGTGGCCCTCAACTCAACATTTAGATATATCGACGACATATGATCAAACAACAATAGTTCCTTCGATTTGTATGGCGAATCGATATATCCCAGCGAATTTGAAAACAAGAGGCCCAGGGTCCACATTGCTCACCTAAGCACTGTGGCTAGGAAATAAGCAAAAATCAGTTTAGTATTACAATGCTAAATGCATAAGTGGTCCCGATCTACCCCTAAAAGGGAAGGGTATGATTTGAACAAAATTGAATCTACACTAACTAAGTATGCTTACATATTTTTTTTTCTGCCTACCCTTAAGGGTCATGATTTGATCAAACTTGAATCTACACATATATACACTTATATGCTTCCATATAAATATGACCAATCATGGGTTTGTTGTTCTTGAGAAGATTTTTTAAGATTTCTCCTATATATTTCTATGTAAAACTTTGACTGTCCATTGTGGCCCCACCCAACCCCGGGGGTCATGATTTGATCAAATTTGAATCTACACCACCTTAGGATGCTTCTATATAAATATGAACAATCATAGCTTTGTTGTTCTTGAGAAGATTTTTTGAAATTTTTATTATATACTCCTATGTAAAACTTTGATCGTCCATTGTGGTCCTACCCTACACCCAGGGGTCATGATTTGAGCAAACTTGAATCTACATGACCTGAGAATGCTTCCATATAAATATGACCAATCATATAACACTGTAAATATTAATAATTATTTGTTGTTTATCTGTTTCTTAAAATTTTCATTTTGTCAACACATGGAATTCATCTTACATATATACTTGTACGCAATGTTTTTAGGAAGTCCGAGAAATTCCGTATGTGAGTAGGATAACATCCACTTGGGCATCCAAGAATCCTCGACAGAGAAAACACATTCCATCAAAATCAAGGAAAAAAGTGACAGAGACTAGCATTGGTGACTGAATGGCTGAGAGGGAAAGGAAGGACAGAGATGACTTTAGATGACAAACATAAGGACCAAGACAAGAAAAAAGGAACAATGGACGTTTCATTAGAAAATTCTAGGATTACGAAAGATGACATCATTGTTTAATGATTATAAAGTGACATGCAGCATGCAGTATATGTGAATGATTTCAGGATAAGGGAAATGTTGTAAGAGACATCTGGTTCTTTTCAACAGATTGTGTTTAGCCCTAAAAATACACTTTTAAATTATAGATTTGTATGAAATTATATTTGAGATTGAGATTAGTTTACAAGTAAGTTGAAATGTTTCCACCCTGGAGAAAATAGGAGGGAAAACTTGATATTTTTGGTACCTTACTTCACAGATACACAAAATAAAGAAAATTCTTGAAATTTTTAAAAGAATGATTGTTATTAAGAAGTAAATGTTAAATTTTCAGTGCTGAAACCTTATACTTCAGTGGTGTAGGCTTAAGCTTGTTCATGATGCAAAATCGTAAAAAAAATTGTTGAGTGAAAGATTCAAGGTTGGAAAATGCTTCTTATTTCTGATTAAAAGGCAATTTGAATAAACACATTGCCTTTTTCCAGAATATTTTATTCATGTCACTACAGTTTAGTTACATGTACTATCATTCCAATAACAGTGTGTCAGTTTGCTTGATCAAGCGTGCTTAACTTTCACATGGTCACGTTGATTACCATATTGCTAATTGATAGCTTGGTTGCTTTAAAAAAAATGCATACTACTTTACATATAAAACACAGGACCCCCAAATACCATCGAGAGTATTGACCAATCACATCAAACAAATTGAATGATTGTTTACTATGGTAGAAAACAGCAACACATGGTCAGTCAAAGACTATTTTACTTTGTATAACAGTAATAATTTCTATAATTTTATGTGTCATGTTCAAATATTAATTGACCTGGTAAAAGTATATGAATCTTTACATGAAAAACTAGTAGAGCAACACTCCTGAGTACTAGTACATGGAAGTGATAACTGAAAAATGCATATTACAATAGTTACGTTTGATTCACACAACAAAGCGCTAGAGTGTCATTATAGATGTTCAAGAAACTCTAGCGCTTTGTGCATGAAATATAGAGATAACAAACAGTATTCAAGCTCAAAGTCCATTAAAACAATACAAATCAGGAGCAGAGCAAACATGAACCTCCAAAAATATCAGAAGTGGGATTATGTGCCATGGAGGAGTGAGCATCCCCTGCCGACCGGTCACACCCGCCCTGTGCTCCTTGTCAAGTAACGGAAAAATCTGTCGACAATTCAGTATGTAAATAATGGCCTTACAATTAGTATGAAAAACGCCAGTCAGCATCTGACTTAATGATAGATAATGTGTAAATCAAATCTTGTACACATGTAAGAAATCAAATTTTTTTGGAATATCTATTCCTTGTGCTAGGAATCTTAACCAAATATGACACATGCAGAAAACGGTCTTTTGTTGACCACAAGTTGCTGCCTACTAACAAATGTACTCGTAAACAATCATTCAATGTGATTGGTCAGTATTATCAGTGGTATTGAAGGGCTCTGTGTTTCATTTGCAAAATAGCATTGATTCTTTTGGAAACAAACATCCAATCGATGGGTAATATGGAAATCAGTTTGTAAAAATTTTCCACAGTCGATCAAGCGAACTGACACGCTGTTATTGGAATGATAGCACATATCTCTAGATGGGACTTGCTGATTAAAAAAAAATCCTTATACCTTGAAGGTGATTTCAAAGACTTTATTTCCAATTACTTTACTTCAGATTACTGAAAAAAATAACTCAAAACAACTGTAAACACTTGATTGAAAATTCTACTCAAAATTTTGTTTGTGTTTGAGCTGTAGATTCTGTAGGACTGTCTTCAAAGATTGTGATGATCGTCAACACAGAGAGCACAGGGTTCATATGGACATTGATCTGGTGTGAGTATAAAAGAAATAAAGCGACCAAACTGGTCCAGTAGGTGGACACTGGAGTGATTCAAATCAGAACCATTGTACATTAAGATATATCCAAGGACGTCTGTACAAATTCCATAGGAACGGAATCTTGACTGAGATTTGTGACCATTGTATGAGAATTTGTACTCTCCTGATCTGGTCAACACCACCACCTTATCATATGCTGATGTACAGATGTCACCATTGATATTTTCCATAATATAAAATAAACTTAGGGGTAGAGTTTCTGGTTTATCATCCCTCAAAATATCCTGTAGCTTCCTTCCTTTCCTACTGTATCTAACAATTTTCATGTCATTATCACTGTTCATTCCAAGCAATATGTTCCCATTTATCCGAGAAGAATGGACAGCCCTTGGTCTCCAGGAGCCTGTGCTGATTAGCTGATTAGTGGTCATGTCTTTTCTTAATCTGTACACGGCTTTTTCCCTCATGTCTATGTAAAGTAGCTCTTCCTTCACAGTGACTGTGGAAACAGCGGGCAAAAATCGAAGCGATGTATAGTTTCTGCAAGATTTTCCCCACCATATCAGATTGAATGAGATTGCCGCTGTAATCATTAGCCCAGAACTTACCGGAAGTCAATGGAGATAAATGAGAAGCCTCACTTAGTTCAAGCACAGTTACTTTTTGTACTGTGGTGATAGACGAGAAAAGTTTTGTTGTTCTTTCTTCAATATTCTCTTTAAATGAATTCATTTTGATTTCCCAAACTGTGTGGCTAATTCCTCTTTATCTAGAGTGTTTGGTGTTAAGATAGGTAGTGTTATTGATGTGGGGAAAGGCATCTTCATTGTAGCTAAAGAAATGTCCGCTTTGAACTTGATAAGTTTAGTGGGCTTAATGGATGCCATTTTACTCTCATAGTCTGTAATTATTTTTTTCAAATCGTTTATATAATCTGATGATTTTTTCTGTTGCTTTTCTAGATCATTTAGCAATGACTTTTCAATTTGATCCAGTTTGTCATTATTTTCTTTAAATATTGAGTCCACAGCCTCCTTGAATTATTCTGCTGTCTTCTTTATGTTAACTCTTAACCCAGCAATTTCTTTCTTCACATTTTCTGTATGCTCACTAAGGGAAAGGACATTGTCTTCTACAGTAGGTGTAACTGTTTTCCAAATATTAGTCATTTTAGTTTGACATTCCTGTAGATTGACATTGTAGACAGTTTCAAGATCAGTCTTTTCATGATCACTGTGAAATTGGGCAAAACATGTAGTACGAAGAGAAATCTAACAATCATCACAATAGACATTTAAACCTTCATTGATGTGGATCTGACATTTTTCAGAAGGGAGTTTTCTTTTTCTCTCAGAAAATAAAACAACATGATTTCTATTGTCTATTTCCTCTAGATGAGCCAGTCTGCAGGGACCACACAATTTTTGATGACAGGAATTACAATAGAACTCAGAGTAGTTCCTACATAATTTTGTGGCACACTCAATACAATGCTGTGTTGTGTCGGGTACTTGATCCATTGTTTGCAATTGAACAGCTGAAAAACATGCATTTTATTAGTCTCGGGGCAAAATATTACATAAATTTAAGGTTTCAAAAAAATCAGATTCTTCCATTTTATTTCAACATATCAAAATACTGTTAATCAAAATGTATATTTACCCTTCACCAAACTTCAATCTTCCAGTCTGTGTCGGCCATTTGCAATAATTATTCGAATTCACGACATTTTACTTCCTAAAGTAAAAAAAAACTAATTTAAATTCATTTTTTCAATGAGGCAAGTCGAGCTTTTTTTTTATGAAATTGAACCAGCATACTAGTGTATTGAATTCGACATTGGTCAACTTAAAGGGAACGTACTGATTTAATTTTGTTTCACAGTGCAATTGATCGCCCATTGTGGCCCCACCCGAACAAACTTGAATCTACACTATCTGAGGATGCTACCATATAAATATGACCAATCATGGCTTTGCTGTTCTTGAGAAGAAGATTTTTAAAGATTATTCCTATATATTCCTATGTAAAACTTTGATCACCCATTGTGGCCCCACCCGACCCCCGGGGGTCATGATTTGAACACACTTGAATCTACACTACCTGAGGATGCTTCCACATAAGTTTCATATTTTCAAGCACAGTGGTTCTTGAGAAGAAGATTTTTTAATGATGCCATCAATTTTTCACGAATTCTTAATTATCTCCCCTTGGAAGAAGGTGTGGCCCTTCATTTGAACAAACTTGAATCCCCTTTACCCAAGGACACTTTGTGGCAAGTTTGGTTGAAATTGACCCAGTGGTTCTTGAGAAGAAGATGAAAATGTGAAAAGTTTACAACAACAACGACAACAACGACGACAACGGACAAATTTTGATCAGAAAAGCTCACTTGAGCCTTTGGCTCAGGTGAGCTAAAAATTGTTTGGTTGCCCTCTCCAGACCGATTGGCTAAAAATGGTCCGACTAAAAGCTTTTTTTTTTAACCTCCTGGAAGCAATTATTTTTTTTACGCATTCTGGAAAATAGATTTTGAAATTCAGCAATGATTTTGAAATTTTGTTTGAAAAATAAATTTTCACCTACCTACCGATTAAATTTTCACATCGGAGTCGGGAGAGGGCAAGCAAACATTATTTTAAAGTTGGTCTCAGGGGCTTTGGTGTTACATGTAGGACGGGGCTCTATTGGTTATATAGGGTAAATGCAGAAAGGACTATATTGGGTAATGACCAATATTTGCCCCCAAAATCAAACTTTGACGGAGAAATATATAATTATGTTCTAAAACAGGGGAATATCTGCAGACGTCAAAGCACTGAATATTTTCATAAGCCATGACGCCACATATTAGATATGACGTCAGAAAGATGACGTAAATTCAAAATTTCCATGATTTATACAGAAAAAGTGTATATTACGTCGATATTTTGAGTAAAAGTCACCGAGCGCAGGTCTGCTCCAACTCAATATTTTGATATAATGCGTAGAATGATAATATCAATGAAATATGTAAATATTGTTCTTGAGCAAGCCTGCGCTCTATAAATTTTATAGTAAAAATTGAACAAATTTTGTCCATCTTTTCCTTTTTCTGAAAAATAACACAAAATCCGAATAGTTTGTGACGTCATAGAAACAAAGGTTGCTTATAATCTTCTTCGAAACTATAATATATTTTGTTAATTTAGATTTCTCACACAGTATACACAATTCAGAACATTTCAAGAAATTTTCAAAATCTGACTTTTGTGGGGGCAAAAATGTGCATATACCGCATATAGTTCTTTCCTTTCTGCTTCTGGGTATTAAACAGACTAAATACATACTAAGTATATTGTTATCATGAGCAAGGGTACCTCTTCCAAAAATTGTGAAATTCATGGTCAGGGGTTCTAATGTTAGGGCGGGGCTCTATTGATTATATAGTAAAATGCATTAATTCTCTGAAAATCTTCTTCTCTGCTTCTGGGTATTATTTAAACAAACTCTGGCATGGTAAGATTAGCAAAGATAACAACCTATGAAAATAACTGTTACAGAGCAAAATCTTATTATGCTGTACAAGTAATTAGAGTTAAACTGTCTATAATATGCGAATAAAACGATTATTAAATACACATAATCAATATTACGTTTCAAAAAATATCAAAACCGATCCATTAGGCCATTTAAGGAGGGATTCTTGTCTGGTTTCTGACTAGATGAAATATTCAAGGTATATGGAAATCACACACGGTACCAATTTTGATGCACCAGATGCGCATTCGACAAATCATGTCTCTTCAGTGATGCTCAAGCCGAAACATTGGAAATCCAAAATATTTAAATGAAAAAAGAATTGGAAGAGCTGAAAAAGATGTCAAAAACTAATATGTTTTATATATTTAGATGTAAGAAATAGGGACTATATTTTTTGGCGGACTGGCGGCGTATGAAAATATCTTCTTTTCTGCCTCTCAAAATTATTATATAACAATGAATTTAGTTATGATTTTTACAAAATCAAAGACTTGAAGAATTTTTTAAATGTAAGTTAAATTAATAATAAGGGACTAAAGTTTTAAAATATATCAAATAAATATGATTTTCCAATCAAACCACAATTATGTTAGCTTTTAAAAGCTTCTACTCTAAGTTCAGATTTGAGCCCAAAATCCGTAAAAAGTGTTTTTTCTCTCTTAGTAAACGGTCAAAACTTTTTGTTTTTATATCATTTTGTATCTTTATGTGACAACTTTTACCATATGTGAAAATAAGAAAAATTTAAATATAGACAGCATATAAAAATAACTAAAATATTTTAAAATTTTAAGAAAAATAGAGATAATTCGGATTAGCCAATATCCATTTTAGTTAAATTATTTATGTCAATTTGGTAATATCATCTTATAGACCTATATGGTAATATCTCTTTATGCAAAAAGAAAAAAAAATTAATTTATTGAAATAGAAGTAGGCATCGCGCATGATTGGCAACAGTAATTTTTTATTATTTATGTCCAGGGGAAAGATACTGACCTTGACCTGACCTTGCCTCTAATATAAAACGGTCAAATTTAATCTAACTGATACCTTAGTAATATTGTCTCTTTGATTCTGTGAAAATTTCATTGATTTTTAAATATAAGAAATAAGTGTTCTTATGAGGAGAATCCCTCCTTAAAAAAATTGTTTGGTTGCCCTCTCCCGACCGACTGGCTAACAATTGGCCAACTCAAAACATTTTTTGAATCTCCAGGAAGCAATTATTTCTTATGCAATCAGAATAATAGATTTTAAAAATTCAGCATTGATTTTGAAATTCTCTTGGAATTTTTTTTTTTCACCTATCTACCTACCGACCCAATTTTTTTCATTCTAAGTCGGGAGAGGGCAAACAAACGTTATAAAGTTGGCTTTAATTACTATAATTTCTACACAAACTTTACCATTTCACAATTGTTATTATATATATATATATATATATATATATATATATATATATATATATATATATATATATATATATATATATATATATATATATATATATATATATATATATATATATGAAAACTTTATTATCATATCAATCTATGGTTTCGGTCTGTCCCATTTATGTCCAGAGTAAAAAACTACAAATTATTATAGTTTACGTAAGTAAAAATCATAATAAAAATATTTATATATTTAATAAAAAATACTGTCAGTATAAAACAGTATCTCTTAAAAAATTATATATAGAAAAACCAACTTCGTACTCTGGAAGAGCGATGGAATTAACTTTGGCAAAATAACAAAGGTCGATCTCGGTAGGTATTATGTCAAAGATCAAAAACTATATATGACTTGTATCCCTCTCTGGTCAAATACTGGACAAAGGATGTTCAGAACAAACAACAACTTTTGGAGGGAAAAATACTAAAACAATAAAACACAACCTTACAAAATCCAAACCAGTGAAAATAATGAATACATCAAACCAAACACCAGAACCTTGTAACCCAGATCAATGATAAGTTCAGGTACTGCCTTAAACAGTACGCGCGCGCATCTGACAGGGCGGTAAGCTTAAAAAGGGCTCTTGTACTTTAAGTTAAATTTGGCATTTTAAGGACAAAGAAGAAGAATTAGAGTAATACAGTTTCATGCTAAGGATCTAGTTACTGTAAATGCAGAAATTCTAACATCATGAAGTCCATCTGAAAGATTACGTGTCGAGTGTTCTCTCCAGAATATTTCCAGTATCGTTTCATATGTAAACAACATCGAAAACTAATCTCCCAGCTGTACATGTATAAGTACTATCATGTTGTTTTATTCACTGCAATTAAAACTGTTAACGCACGGTTCCAGGGATGCGAACAACACCAACCCATGCCTGGTAGGTGGGCATGTAGGTTAT